GCCAAATCGGGTAGATCTTTGGAGGGGGGGGAAGTATATATATATATATATATATAGGTACACATGTATATAAATATATATATATATATATACACATGTATTTACATATGCCCCCCCAAGATCTACACCCTATCTGTTCTATATATGTATATATGTATGTATGTATGTATGTATGTATGTATGTATGTGTACATATATATATATATATTAATTGAATAACTGCTGTATTTATTTTGATATATATATATATATATGTGTATATATACATATATATATATATATCCGTGGCCAATTTCGTGGTTCTAACCAAGAAATACAAGAAACCGAATTTTCCTACTGCGGCGGAGCTGCGAATTGGATTTTTTGGATTGCTGGCTGGGCTCGATCTCTCCTGCGGTGGTTTGGTGGTTTGGTTGATGCAATATGAACATACATAAACCATAATGCTGTAGAGTTTAGGGTTTACGGTTTAGGGTTTAGGGATACTATACTATATGTTCGTGTATGTCTCCCCTGTCCAATGCTCAGAACTCCTACCTCTAGACTTGACCCTTGCTTACTGGAAGCCCTTGTGCGAAAGTCTCCTCCAAGCGCCACGCTGCCATCGGTGGCAGCGCCGGCATCGGTGCGTCTGCCATGTTCAACTCAATGGAAAGTGGAGTGATTGCATTCGCTTCGACATTCTGAAACGTCTGCGGCATCTCCTCGAAGCCCCATGCCGGCGCAGGCAAGTCCCTGACAATCACTGCCACGGCTGCTTCTGCTCGGGCCACGTCTGGCATCTCTCCAGAACCTGCTGCTGGGGTAGCTGCACGGCCCAACTCCGCAGCAGCTGTGAAGCCCAACCCACCAACGCACTCTGACGTCCTGGGATTCGAGGGACTGGGCAATTGCTGCCCAAATAACTCAATGCTAGGATGGTCTAGAAGCTGCGCGACAGGTTCTCGAAAGCTAAGACCGTCTACAACAGCAAGGCATATCGAGTTTCTGAGCCAACCCGGCGCCAGTGGAGGTCTCAGCCTTCAGGGAGTGATAGAACGGCTCCGCGGGGAGGGAGGTTTGATGCAATCTTTTTTGAGATGTAACTTGTCAGCGTTTTCATGAAAACTACTGAGCTGTAGCTTTGTTCTATCTCCAATAACGGCGAATCTCTGCGGAGGATCTGCGAACATCCTGATTAATTCAAGCTATCTTTCCTGTACTTCGCACAATGCCACAACCGTCACACAAAGTTCATGCTGGATCACTCCTTAGGCTTGCCGTCTTCGGTAAAACGTTCTTGCTGGATTCACTCCATAGGGTTTTCGTCTTCGGCACAAGGTTCCTGCAGGGTTCACTCCTTTAGAGTGCTCATCTTCGATCAACAGTTCACCCAAAAGGTTCATGCTGGTTTCACTCCTCAACGTGTTCGTCTTCGGTCAAAGGTTCACTCCTTCGGGGTTTCGTCTTCGGTAAAGGGTTCTTGATAACAGAATTACACCAGCGAAGACCCCAAACAGAATGCATCGAATCATGCCGGTTCAAGTTGGAACGTGTTGGAACCCATGCAGCAATTTACTGCACATGAAAGAAGCAGCCAGCCATGCCACAACGTGGATCGTGCCGTCTCTGCGACAAGCTTTCATCCGACTCACGTGCTGCCAAGCGGAGCCCAATGGGAGCCCACCCCGTCGCCGCGGCCCACCCGTCCGACCCGGAGCCCAGAAAGGAAACATGAAGGGAGCCCAATGGGAGCCCAGCCCCGTCGCCGCGGCCCACCCATGCAGCCACCGCGGCCCACCTTTTTTCTGAGGAGAGAACCCCAAACCGTGTACCTGTTTGGGGAAATACAATCCGTGTTGCACTCATCATCCCATCTCAGATAGTCTGCAGCTCTGTTTGATCTCTGGTGCTGCAGTAAACTCTGGCATAGTTGACTATACAATACCACACGACTTGATAGTGTATTATATGTATTGTAGTAGAGAAGCTACACAGCCTACTCCTACTTCGGCCATGAGCAGGAATGCAGGAACTTACGTCACCGATTGCCCATGCCGAGTGAAGTTCAACCTTTGGTCTCAAACTCTGTGCAGCAAACCTAGTAGTAGTACACAATGTACTTTTGCGTCTACAGTCTCCGAGCGCTAATCCGCGAGGCTTCCTCGCATTCTGTCGGAAAAACTTACGTCTAAGATAAGGAAGGTGGGTCTCAGAAAAAAAGTTACATCTAACCCTGCTACCAGCTCGGCGCAATCCCTGAAGGCTTTTAAAGTTGACAGCATATGCACTCGGGCTTCGAGGACCATCCTGCGTCTAAAACGTGAATGGTCGGATTGCCCTTCGCGTCCAAACCGTAGCTAGCCTCTGTATGGGAGCTTGGGCATCGGAAATCCCTGGGTTCAAGCAGAGCACAAGCGCCGTTCCCAGGGTGCCACCACCGAAGCGCCCTAAATACCCTGAACCCGGAACACTCTGAGCCCTTTACCTCCATCATGGCATCGCAGTCAACTTGGATGCCAAGGACATGGACCGGAGGAGCCGCAACCACCTCCCGGACAGGTTGATGAGACTGATGCCAAGGAGTGTGCAGGCGGCGGAAGCAACTGGAAAGGGGAGGGTGCTTGCATCAATTTCTCTGTGCCTAGACACGTCCGGTGCCGTCATGCTCATTCGTTATTTACGTGGCCTCATCTGCCGATGCCTGCAGGCTGTCAAACTCGTCCAGATTGAAAGCTTGAGTGGCGTAGCCTGCAAGGAACAAGGCACGACAAGGCCAGGCATTCTGCAACAGTCACCTCCAACCACTTTGAAGGTGTCAAGCGTGGTAGGCTGTTGCTAAATATCTAACTCCTAAACCCTAAACCCTAAACTTGGATAAACTGCCTGGCCTGCGAACTGGAAGGTGCTCAGGAGCAGGCTGCCAGACTGGACCACCATCTGGTCTGCAGTCTGCACGGCGAAGAAGAAGGCGTAGGCCGTAATGCAGGCGCAGAAGAAGGCTTCGGAGCGCTTCTCCTCCTTGACTGTCTAGCTGGAAACCCTAAGTGACGTGCTCAGGCTTAGCTTCAAAAAAGTGCTTGCACGCCAGTGACTGTGTCCTCCAGGTAGTCTAAGAGATCTTGCCTTATGATGCCCCGCTCTGTGCTTGCCTTGAGCGCCTGCCGCAGGTACAGATGAGTGCCAGTCTCTATGGACTTACCCAGAGAGCCCAATACCCCTTAATTCAGGAATATACCTTAAATCATAGTATTAAGGCCCCTATAATTTAAGCTATCTTCCTTATTTAAGGGGGGTAGGAGCCACAAAGACTAAATCGAATTCTCTGGACCGGATGCCTGTCGGAGGCGCCAAGGTGGGAGCACACGCAGCTGTTTCAGGCCGCTGCGCGCCACCACAAATGTCATGACCGCGGCAAAGAAGTAGTGTTTTGATGCAAGGAAAGTGAAGACTGTGTTGGCGTCCAATACCACATCCAGCACAAGCAATGCCACCCCAAAATACAGCCCACCACCTTTCCAGGGCCAGGAGAATGCCACCGTCGGCATGATCTTCGTGTTCACTTGGCCAAACTCTTCTGGAGTCTTCATTTGCAGCAAATCCTTCACGGCCTGCGTCTTTGCTGTCCTGTGCTCTGGATCAACGAAGGTTGCAGGAGGACCACAGAATGCGGTGCCACAAACTTCCAAAAGAAGACATCCAGTGTACAAAGTAACGAGGAGAAGGTAAAAGCCGCACAAGATGCCGAAAATATCAAGAGCATACAGTGGCGGGGCCCACGAGAACATCCAGTGAGTGTCCAACCTGTTGTCGAAGTCATTCCAAACAAACCCAAGCTTGTTTTCACCCCATTCCGCAAAGAGCGGGTTAAGGCCCAGTCCCGAATGTTTAACGGCTGCGACGAGGTCGCCTCGAACTAACGCGTGCAGGAGGTACCAGACATAGGCGACCCACAAACCGCAGAAAGTCAAAGTGCGCAGGAGTGCCCACACCCGTTCAGCGAAGCCTCTGCTCAGAATTGTCAGGGCTGGTGCGTGGAGCACAGCTCCTACTCCATGGAAGACAATGGCTGGTATCAGATATGACATAACTGCCACCGGCAACCACCAAGCCCAGTTAGCGAGAACCAACACGAATCCCAGCCAAAGGACCGCAATGCAGACTTCCAGCCAGCACCACAGCCTGCGGCGAATGCCATGTTGTGAGAAGGCTTGGCTGACCAAAAGTTTGGCACCGTCCAAGAATAGGTCAGGCGTGGCATCGCGCGCGACCTTGCTGGACAGGCGCTGCATCAACTTTTCCTCCAGAAGAACCACCGCTGAGGCCAGACAGGTCATGGAGCCAAGCACCAGAAAACTGCGCCAATCTTGCAGAGTACTCGCGACAAGTGCCATGCGCGTGATGCGCTGCTGCATGTAGTCCCTGGCCTCTTCATTTTCCAGTCGTTTCATGAGTGGCGTTCCCGCGGAGTCGTGCCAAGCAATGTCGCCACCACACTGCAGCCAGCGCTGCAATGAAGCCTTGGACAAGTTGTAAATATGAGTGCACTGCAGTTGTACGGCTGCATCTTTCCAAGCCTCAACCAGGCCCAGGCTTCCCCAGTGGGGAAGGCTGGCGCCACAGGCCGCGTCGATCACAATGGTACAAGGGAAACTTGGAGGCCAATTGGGAGCTACATCATCCCGCACGTTGGGAG